CGCCTCTTCCGCGAAAGTACGTCTAACGTTTTTTTTTTGTTTTTTGTAAACACTTTCGCCGGCACCTGGCGGCGGTGTGGGTGTTGCATCTGCTTTCTTTTTTTTTTGGCTGCATGTGTGCGTTCTTCTGTTTTCGTTTCTTTCTTGTTTTTGTTTTTCAAGATCGCAGCTGCAACAAGCAAACAAGCCACTTTTTTCAGATTTTTTGCATTTCGACGATGGCAACCCCGAAGCAGGTGTCGAAGAAGGCGTCCAAGAAGCGCAGCGGCGGGCGCTCTGCGAAGGCCGGCCTGATCTTCCCCGTGGGCCGCGTCGGCTCGCTGCTGCGCCGTGGCCAGTACGCCCGCCGTGTCGGTGCGTCGGGCGCCGTGTACATGGCGGCGGTGCTGGAGTACCTGACAGCTGAGCTGCTGGAGCTCTCCGTGAAGGCGGCGAGCCAGCAGGCCAAGAGGCCCAAGCGCCTGACACCCCGCACGGTGACGCTCGCTGTGCGCCACGACGACGACCTCGGCACCCTGCTGCGGAACGTGACCCTGTCGCGCGGTGGCGTGATGCCGAGTCTGAACAAGGCGCTGGCGAAGAAGCACAAGAGCAGCAAGAAGGCGCGGGCGACGCCCAGCGCTTAGATGGGCCATGAAGCCCAGCGCAGAGACGACGCGACTCGCTAGATACACCTGGGGGAACGCCATCGCCCAGCCACAGTGACTCACGTGTGGCCCCATAGAATGGTTTTTTTTGTTTTTGTTTTATTTATGTGTTGGCGTGGCTTCCCCCAATTTCTCCTCTCGCCTCTTCCGCGAAAGTGCGCAACGTTTTTTTTTGTTTTTGAAACACTTTCGCCGGCACCTGGCGGCGGTGTGGGTGTTGCATCTGCTTTTCTTTTTTTTTGGCTGCATGTGTGCGTTCTTCTGTTTTCGTTTCTTTCTTGTTTTTGTTTTTCAAGTATCGCAGCTGCAACAAGCAAACAGCCACTTTTTTCAGTTTTTTTGCTATTTCGACGATGGCAACCCCGAAGCAGGTGTCGAAGAAGGCGTCCAAGAAGCGCA